ATATCTGTATATGTAGTTTTAATGACTATGGTGACAATCTAGAGTTAGACTAAACATTTTGTCAATTGACACAGTTTATATGTTAAGATTACTGTGTTAACATTTTTTTCAACATATATGTTCTGGGAGGAAAGCTGAGCCAGAGTCACCACCAGCATTTGACAGAATGAATGCCTGTCAATTTGTAGCAAATACAAAAGCATCCTGTGAGAGCTGTGTTTTGAAAGAACAGGGATCCACAGCTGAAGAGAGGAAAAAACCAAATAATCAGATCTGCAGGTTTCAGTCTGAACCCTCCAATATAATAAATTAACTGAAAACTACAAAAATTGAATGATACTGTCAAAATGGTCTTAGTAATTTAGCTTGAAAACAGCAGGTTAAAAGGCAAACGTACAAAAAAACCCCAAAAGCAGGGGAAATAGCTCCTCCTAACAGAAAATAATGCAGAGTATCTAAAGTTTTGGCTTTTTGCTTTTCTTTTTTTTAAACTCGAGGGTACTCAATTGTGGAACAGTCTGTCATGAAAACATCCTCACAAAAAAGGCAATGTCAAAGTTAAAGCTCGTGGTACTGAGTTCACCCTCAACACAACTTTCTCAAGCAGAGCTGTTCTTAAACAGCATGTAGCAATAATAACATTACAGTGTCACAAGAGACCTTCCACAGGCATGTAACAATAAAGACATTACAGTGTCACAAGAGACCTTCCTAACCCAAAGAGTCTGATTAGCTAGCTGCTAAGAATGTTCAGGTACAACAAAAGGAACACTTTTCAAAAATTATCTTACAGGACAGTTTTAGCAAGTGAGCTTTAGCTACAGTCTTTGGATATCTTGCTTTTATAAAATGTGATACAATTCTTAGGGTATGTATCAGATCTCAACACTGGCAGCTCATGTATCTGTGCTCTTGGAAGGGGTATTTAATTTTCTCTTAGCTCTAGTGCTCCAAAACCAACAAACAAACCAACCAACCCACCCACTCCAAAACCCAAATGCTGGACAATCCACTAACAAGAGAAAGACATGGGGCTACAAATTTTTTTTCCCATTATTTCTAAAAGACATAATTATTGTTGGAAAATATGCAACTGGACTACAGTAATCATGTATTCGGCTAGCATAAAAACTCACTCCAAGGAAGTAATCTAAAAAATTTGTATGCCATCACTTGAAAAAAGCTTTGTCTCCTTCCTTGCATGGCAAAAAGCACAAAAAAATACACTTTAAAAAGCAAGGATGTCCTTATGCCAAGTGACCAAGAAACATTGTGTCTAGTTTGAATTCATTAGATCCCACATGGATATCCTGGAAAGAATCTGAAAAAGAGGAGCATAGCTTATTGAAGCAAGTATTGAATACTGAAGGACCAGGACAGAAACATGTACTAAAACTGCTTTGGACAATCATCACAGACATCTAGTCTGTTCTGATATGCACACTTGGCATTACTTGAAGAGGAAGTGCCAATATTGACCCATGATCCAAGTATGTACTTAGAAATATGCTCTATTTTAGTTATGAGAGGACTGTTAGCTTTTGACATACATCCTTCCTAAAACCAGAGATTATAACATATGAGGAGAGCCACACTATTGAACAGTAACAGCATCTGTTCATGAAACTGAAACAAGTTTATTTTGTTCTGGTTTTTAAACAAAGACACTAGTGCCAAAACACAATATATTACTTTCTGGGCATGACTTTATGGTTGTTTTTTTTTTTTTAAATTTTACACAAAGGCAAACAGTCCTTTTGCTTAAATTCTACTGACACTTTGTCTAGGGATGCATTCTTGGCTATTGCTGTACATTAGTTTCTTGAAGATTTGCTTATCCAAGAGGAATTCTGAGGAGGGCTAAGCAGTCCCAAAAACTTATTTTCAGCTTAAGAAAGATAAACAGATCAGGATACTTCTGGAAGATTTTTCATTTTCAATTTTCTAGATATTTCTAAAAAAAAAGTGTCTTGGGGGGGGAATCTTAAACCACACAGATCTCATTTTCTAGAAAAGAAAAAAAAGCCAGAAAAATAAGAGTCCTCGATGTGGTATAAAACTCCCTGTTCTTCCAAATGCAGTCAAAATGTAGTAGGCTGGACATTATGAAAAGCCTTTCAAATAAGATCAAGTGAGCTTTTCAATACTTTTAAAACTAATTTTGGAATAACCTGAAAGCATGCACAAAAATATAGGTAAAAAACCTTCAGATTTTTATGATGCTTTGTTTGAAAGTTTATGACCTTGCAAGAAAGCCTTCATGACCAAATATACAGTAAGTGATAATAATGGAAATAGAAAACAAGAAAGAAACAAAAGATCCAAAACAACCACAGTTCAGTTATAGTGTCATACTAGAAACATTACCTTACAGAACATGTCTCGGAGATCATCTTTTGGGCTAATCCATGATGCAACAGCATCACAAAAAAAAATAAAGTCCTATAAGATTAAACAATCACATAGATTAGAAGCCTCAAATTTATAGGTATGAAAACAATGTTCGATGTTCGTTCTATGAACTATGCGGGGTATTAAATCCGAATTCATAACTTCTTTTGGTTTTATGCCTTTATTTTCCAGCTAATTCAGACAATAATGGTAAGTAATTGTATGCTTAAGTGTATGAAAATGGAAATAGCTTAGTGTAGGAATACCTTTGTTTAATCAGACTTTTTATTAAATTGAACCCCAGTTAAAAAAAAACCCAAATCAACAAAAAAACACCTCCTCTCCTCCCACACCACACTTGTCAAACTAATTCTTTCAGTACACATTCCAAGTTTGAGAACCAAACATCTTAATCACAATCAACAAACTCAGGACCACACTCACAACTTACTTTCATGCATTTTCAGTTGGGGAAAAAAGCTGTTCTATTTCTTTAAGCAGAGCCAGAAGTTGTTTCTGGGATACACAGAATGTTTATCATACAAGTTCAAAACTAAAGCCATCCAAAATCATTATGTTTAATTCATCTGCTACTATGCATTACCTCCTACTACACCATTAAACATCAGCCTTAATGATTAAGTTAAGCTGCAAAGACTAAGGAGTAAGCCATAGTCTATATGGACTATTTAAGCAATATATCCAAAGTTGAAAGAGAATCTTCCCTACTCAAGTTTTAAGAATGAAGGGGTGGTTATTGGTTTTGGTCTGTTTCTTTTTTTAAAAGCCTAGATTGTACCTGAAAAATAGGTTTTAGTATGTCAAGTTTTTAATATACCCTCAACATAAAAAAGACTGATAGAAGTATCAAAATACAGTCCAAGTTCATTATTTACATATTCCTTGTAAATAAGACCAAAAAATGAATTTAACAATACTGTCTTTTCCTTTTCATAAGTGATAATTTCTGAAGCAGAAATTCTGAAGTATCAGGATATGTATAATTTGAAATATAACCATTTTGGCCTCCTTGATGTCTAAAATGCAGTTATAGCAAGTACTACATACAGGGAATCAACATCAAGCTAAATTTTTTCATACTCCATATACTGCTTTCACTAAATTTCACATGAGTAAAGAAAAAAGAAGTCAAAATCTATTTATGTATCTTACTTGGACTACTCCACTGGGATTGACTGAGATCATGGTACATATCCCACGGAATGCTGAATCCTTTTCCTCATTGTCTCTTATGTTTCGCAGAGAGGTGCACCTAGTAAGTTGGAGGGCAAAACTTAGCCAATTCTATTACTTTTTCATTCAATCAAGTCAGGACTCGATGAAAGTATTTGATGGAATATGTCATATTGATAAGATTATCTGAAACACTATTTTGAACACTTAGAAAGATACTTGTTGCATACAGTCTTTACTAGTATATTTTCATTAGGTATCATCTACAGAATCTTGCTTTCCTGTTGCACTATATAGTTAGAAAGTGTGACCTGTATTCCATTAAATACAAAAGAAACACATATATGAAATATTTATAGAAACTATCATTATTAGAAGCAGAACATATAATACTATCGCAGTATGAATTATGTCAGATACCACTTACAGAACAGTTATCTAACCTTTACAGCAGCAAGCTATTTTATACATAACAAGTCTAGAAACATATTCCTTACAGCAATTCAAGCCTCAGACTGAATTTTAAGTAAAGTAATGCACAGTTTAAATTTTACAGTACTTGCATGCATTTTATTATCATTCTGTTGGATTTTAAAATGCTCTTTTATAGTCAAGCTTTAACACACAAGCATGTGACAATCTTATCCCATGCATAAATTAGTCGTTAGCCACAACATAAAGAATACATGACAGCACTACTAAAAACTCACAAACCTGATAGGACAAGATTAGTCACATGGTTGGCAATGATTAAGGATTGAGATTTTGTAACCAACTGAAAATATATCTAAAAGTGAGATGAAAGAAAGAAAGAAAGAAAGAAAGAAAGAAAGAAAGAAAGAAAGAAAGAAAGAAAGAAAGAAAGAAAGAAAGAAAGAAAGAAAGAAAGAAAGAAAGAAAGAAAGAAAGAAAGAAAGAAAGAAAGAAAGAAAGAAAGAAAGAAAGAAAGAAAGAAAGAAAGAAAGAAAGAAAGAAAGAAAGAAAGAAAGAAAGAAAGAAAGAAAGAAAGAAAGAAAGAAAGAAAGAAAGAAAGAAAGAAAGAAAGAAAGAAAGAAAGAAAGAAAGAAAGAAAGAAAGAAAGAAAGAAAGAAAAAAAGAAAGAAAAAAGAAAAAAGAGGGAGAAGGAAAGAAAGAAGGAAAGCAGGAAAGCAGGAAGGAAGGAAACGCCAACCAAGACATGAGCAAATAAGGGGGAGGAGAAAAAATAAAGAAAAAACAACAAATAACTCAGAAACAGAAGCTAACAGAATCTGTATATGATAGTAAACATAAGATTTCACCAGTGCTGTTTATTACCACCCCCTGAATAAGAGGCAGTAACATATATGGTATACTCTCCAGGGCAAAAGAAAAATTAAAGAAGTAAATGAGAGAACACCTAAAACCACAATTTAAAATCCAATGGCTTTCTGATGTAAGCAGTCATTCTGCCCTCTTCAAAATCATCACTTACAGTTAATTTACCTACCATACACTTCAAAGTTTTTATTAAAAAGTACTATTATGGATACTATTGACAGAAAGGAATTAACCATTTTCAGTTTTAGTATCAAGTAGCCCTAAATATTTTATTTTTTCTAGATTTTAATGGGCCTACTATCTATCAGTAAAAATACATTTATAAACACTTTTACATTTAATACCTTGTGGTCTATCTAATACACACTAAATAGATTGAACACTCTCAAAGAGCCCCAAATATTTGCTTTCTTCATAGTCTTGCAGAGAAATTAAAGGGGTTGCTAGCTCACAACTGACTGGAGAAAATTAATTTTTTAACCCCAATATTTCTCCTGTTCAGAAAAGACTTCCTCATAAAAGTTGTATAAGAACCTGACTTCAGATACAAAAGCATAAGGACACATGAAAAGCAAAACTGCTTCTCTGAATGATTAGGTAGAGTGGTCCTTTGTTCTGAGGGCCAGACTAAAGAAAATATCATTATGCAAGTGTGTTTTAATGGTGTTTGCTCAACTCACAAAAGATTAATCTTTAGGAAAAAGAGAAGGTGGGAAATAATGTATCAAATTACTTGAAGCAAAATACATGAATAATACTAAAATCCAGCAGATTTATGTGAAGCAGAGAAAGAAAACCTATGTTCAAGTGACATACTATACAACACTAACGAACAGGCATTTCTGAACTGTTTAATGAAATATGCAATAAAGCAGATGATGCTTTCTCGAATAAGTTTAGTGTCGGATACACCAATGATTTGAAATGTACCCATTCCATGAAAGCTGCAGCTCACTGGTAACATACTATTTTGCTCAGACATTACTCAATTTCAATATGCAGTGTCTCAAACTTTTGGCAGATCTAACATAAAACTGCATTTGAAGTGATACTTTCAAATGAAAATGCACTTAAGGTTTATCTGTAAATTCTCACAGCTAGAGTCTGTACAAGGAATAGTAATTTCTATCAAAGCTTAACTTCTTGGCATGTACTGATTATTTTCTATGCATGTACTTTTACTTAAGTTGGTCTCATGTTTCCATAAGAGAAGTGTTTTCATAGCTCATTAGACAACAACCTAGTGCAGAAAGCAGTAATATTCTTGCACATACCAATGGCATACAGCACAATATCCCACAACAAACTTATAAGTGCACCATGCTCGACATTTATTTGCAGTTATGCATCTGCATTTAAAGTGACTATTAATATACTAAAAAAAGTCAGGGTTTGGATGCTTCAAACAATTCTCTAGCAGTGATGGAAGCAAACTTTTAGGTAATGAATGTTTCTCAGCTACAGATATTACACATTCATCAGTGCAGATGAAGGGGGATGGGGCAGGGGGAAAGAAAATTTATATTGCTATACTGTTCCATGGTGCATTTCATAACAAGTAATTAGCATGAAAATTATCATTTCAAAAAGCAGCAACTATAATATGCCAGACAACTAGGCAATTTTTCCTTCAAGTTCATCTTCCATGCTAAATGAGAGGGTGGGGTGTAGAGAATACTGGAGGAAAAATATGCATAGAAAGAAATCCCATTTATCTCATACTTGGCTCAAACTCAAATGTAACTAGCAGTGAATTTGCATAATTTTCAATTATGTCCACTATAATGACTATCATTTTACAAGACAGTTTTTAAATAGAAAAAAAGCCAAAAGATTCTTAATTAGTAAAATAGTAAACCAGAAACCTGTCAAATTATTAATAAAGTTTTGCTGAAGTATGGAAGGTGCTCTTCATACCAGAACATGCCCTCTATAAACGCAAAGGAACAAGCCTCAGAAATTCCAGTTCAATAAGGCACTTGGGGACTGCTTCCAATTTGGAAGGCAAAGCAGCTGGCCAGAACACAGAAATGCACATGCCACTGTTAGACTTCTTTTCAGAAATTTGTTATTAAGTGACCAGGTAATAGAAATTATACAGAATTTCAGTTATGTTGTCATAAAACTCCCATCACAGATCTAGATTTTTATGCATATTACTACAAATTAAGATTTTTTTAAAAAGTGCATTATTGTAAATTCAAAGAGATCATTATTTGTTATATATATGGCATTTATATTTGTTTCAAACACTAGACATATAAATACAGTACACATGTGTAAGGACATGCATATATCAAAATCGGTGTAAAGCCACTAAGCATTTAAGTGTTACTGCATACATTTGTCATATTGCATACATAAATAAAATTGGAAGAATAATTAAAAAGATGATAAATAAATATAAAATGTTATAAAGGTGAGAAAGCAGTAACTTTAATAATCTAGATATATGATAGATGTTTTTCTGCAAGACTGAGACTTTTAAGAGCTTCTGCAAAACAGTTGGTTTTGCTTATGAAAGCCAAATACATAGCAATAAAATAAGTCCTATTTGATTTGTTAAAATCATTAAAGAAAAAAAATCTCTAATTCCCTTCACCATAAATGGTTAAGTTTCCGGTTACCTGTGTTCTCTAACAATGTCTTTGGTGTGTTGGGTCTGTTAATTATTTCTACAAGCTGGTGCAACACCATTGGAATATAAGGCTGCATCTCTATACCTGAAACAGCCAAAAAGAAACATTGAGAAGAAAATTACCATTAATATACATAATCTATTTAGATCTGGTACACTGAACTTACTGTCAAGGACAAGAATGTAAAATTAATTTAAATTTTAAACATGAAAGCATCACTAAAAATAAATAAACCCCTCCCAACCCAGACAAACCATTCTAAATATGCAAATATTCAAAGAAAAAAAAATCTTACCCATCTGAATGGAGATTTCTCCAATTGCCCAGGTGGCATTGTTACACACAGAAATGAATTCAGGGTTTAGATTTGTTCCCAAAATGGGCATGAAATCAGCTAGAAAGGACAACATTTTAAAATCTCATCACACAATACAACCATCTTGTTCCATTACTGTAAGGGGAGGGAGTTTTTAAAATAATCATGTAAGCATATTTAAATTCTCATAAAGCATTACACCTGAATTAACAAGAGCTGTATTTTTGCTATATATCAGATTAACCTGGATGATACAGCCTAAGTGGATCAATGCTAATGTGGATCAATGCTAATATTTTCAAATAATGATTTAAAATATTTTAACAGATTTTACACTTATGTAACTCTAGAAACCTTTTTTATCCCCTTCCCAGAAGTGAAGAAAGAAAAGGCACACCTGGATAGCTATGTATTTAGCTGTGCTAAAAAAAAAAAAATTACCAACCCCCCCCCCAACAAACAAACACCCCTTTCAACAACAAAACCAAAAAACCCACCAAACACAACACCAACCCCCAAAAAAACAACCAACAGCCAACAACAATTAAGCCTAGAAGGTAAATCACAGCCTTAATTAAACTTTATTTGGCAGATGTTATAATCTATCTTCGTGACTAATATTTCACTAAGATTTAAATTCCAAGCCTATCCAAGCATTCATAGATTCTAGTAGAAGAAAAAAATCGACAAATTCTCGAATTTACCAAAGAAAGCAACTGTTCTAATTGAAGTCTAAGTACATCTGTTTTGCTGTATTCCAGCACAACAGGAAGCATGTTAATATTATAAAAATCAAGCGGCAAAATGCACTTTTGCACTGTCTACAAAAAGAACCGCACATCTTAAACAAACACACCCTTGATGATAAAGGAAAATGAAAACTTACAACACCATGACAAGGCAAGCCACAGAAAAGAGAACTTAATGGCTAAACCAGCCTCTTGTGAGTTTGTAAAACAAGTTAATTATTTAATATGTAAAAGAAACATACCGATGCAAGGTTTAACATGCTGAAAACACGCCTTTGTCAGATCACCTAACAATGCAAAAGAACTCTGCCGTACCTCAGGCATTTTATCCTAAAGAGAGGAAGAAAAAAACCTGACAGTTCTAGAAGTGTTTCCGATTCTCTTAAGAAAGAAAATTCTTGGATTAAACAGGTTACTCATCTCACCTGCATGCATTGGTACATTAGTGTCAGGATATTGCTGCAAGCCACTAGCTGTTCAATGTTGCTTCCAAGTCCTTCAGCTAAACCACTGAGTAAATCAAGAGCCACAATCATGAAATCTTTATCTGGAGCCTCATATTGGTCTGGCTGAGCATTGTGCAACTGCAACAAACAATTATGCATTTTCAAAATGAGTATTAGATTTTCTCTGGGATATACATAAAAGTGCAAGCAAAACAAACAAACAAGAAATTAGTTTCAGAACTGCAGCTTCATTTAGATATTCAGTAGTGAATACTACAAATATCTCTGCAAACCTGTAACTTTACATAGTTAATACATTGGTTTAAGGAGATATTCTGAAAACATTGGAATAGCAATAGAAAAATACCATGGCTTGTGCAAGAGTCTTCTGCACCAGATTTACACAACGCTGGTACACAGGTTCACAGTATGGAAGGAAGCCAGATTGCAAGGCAGTAGCAACTGACGACAGGCACTGGAATAAAATAAAGATTAGCTGAGCCAAGGCAATTATCAGCTAATTGTTACTCTCTCTTACATATGTCAGTTGAGAAAATTTTTCAGGAGCAGCATCTTCTTTAAAGTGGCCAAGACAGTTCGTATGAAGACAGTTACTATAATTCAGCTAGCACTTACACTAAACTTCAATATCCTGACAATGTACAGGCCCTAACACTACCCAAGTGTTATGAAACAAATTTCTCTAGACGTGTTTTCCTGCTTCACACTTGGAAAGTACAGAGAATTGACTACATTGTCTGGTTCATACCTTCAGCCTGTCAGTAATTGCTTTAATGGAGGGATGAAGGGAGAGCGAGAGAGAGAGAGAGAAGACAAGAACAGGGATGGAACAAATTTTAAAAAAAGCAAACCAAAGAAAACACTCAAGAATGGCAGGAAAAAAAATCTAAAAAATTTCTGCTAAACCTAATGACATTTCCTCAGTCACAAAATTTCCTGGCTATTGTCATAATATCTTCTCCATAATGGGAAATACCTAACACTGCCAGCTTTTATAGTCACACTTCCTAGTAGGAGCATCCTTAGTAAAAGGGGCAATTCCTAAAAGAAGTTGATAAAGCATATTCAAATTTTAACATTTACCTCTAATAAAGGGAAAAGATCTTTATCTTCATCCTTCAACATGTTCCACTTCTGGATTAATGGAGGCATTAGCATCTGAATATATTCCTGTTTAAGATTAAAATGCATCAGCTACTGAAACACTCAATTGCATACTAGTTTATTTCAAAGCTAGAAAATTGATATATTAAGAATTGATATATTCTACTTTTTCAGCAAAATAAAATTGATATACTGTAATTTAATAATTGCTGCAATATGTAGAAGTAGTCTAATATTAGAACTTAAAATGTGTCTTTTTTTTCTGAAGTACATAAGTACTTTTGCAGAATTAATATTTTCCTCCATGTTTGGCTTCAGTCTAGCAACTTTTAATAGCTGCCTGGGTCATTACAAATCTATAGGATTGACTCAGGGGCTACAGAAAATGTTTTCACCAGCAATGCAATCTGGCTGTGCATCTGCCACCTGCTTTTCTCAACCATCTCCCATTGCCCTGATGCTACAACCCCCCAAGTTCCTGAAACCTCTCCCTCAATCAACTACCCATCCATGAAGAAAGTAATTTTCTATCCTTCCAGAAGGGTGCATTTACCAATTCTGTATAAAATGTTGCATCTTCCCTACGACTGCTGTCACAGTCACAAGGACATTAAGCAAGGCATCCCTGTAGTACTGCTGCTCCCAGAAAGTATCCAAAAAGACAACAGATGCTGCCAGCTAATGCTATGTCCAAAGATACAATATTATAAGTGACTGAAGAAAGTCCCACCATCACCAAGAGCTGTCATTTAGCTTCCTCCTGGTCCTGTCAAAAGTCAAGCTGGCCAGGGCCAGAGAGAGATTGGAACAGATGTCCTTTGATGGTGTGGAGTCTTGAATGGTAAGTAAAATGCCATGGCAACAACCCAAATTGTTTTATTCTAGTTTGTCTATGTCATGTGAAGCACTATAGAGGAATAAAGCAAATTTCAACAGCCATCATAAGATGCACGTGACATGTATGTATATCCTATTAATGAATATACGTACACTACAAAAAACCCACTACATTTGTCTGTGTTATCTGTGCTTTGCCCAAAGGATTCTGTGCTTTTAGATAAAATGCAAATCTGTCCCACTCTCGGATAAAGCAATTTCTAATGATGTGCTTTGATGTATTGGAAAGACACTCAGAGCAGCTTTGCTATACTGAAAATGTTTACAAACAACAACAACAAAAAAGTAATTAGAAATTAGCACACACATTCCACCAATTTCTTTAAAGTCCCATTTCATATCTATATTGATATATACCTCCTTTGAGCTGAAAAATTTTGAGAATGAGGAAAAAAAAGTCACAATAATGAGAAGCACATTTCACAAGCCACCAAACACAATTGTTTATTCAAAATGGGGAATATTTGTGCAGTGGGAAAATTACATACAGTCTATGCATTTTACATGTAAATATTTATTATTATTGAAGCCAGCATTTCTGGTTTATAACATATAAAGCACACGACAAAAACTACCAAAACAGTTTTTCAATATATGATGAGTATTTCTACAGAACATAAGGTATACTCACTGGTTTATTTAGATGATGTCCTACAGAATCTGCTAGAGTTCCTATAGCATCATAAAGAATGAGCAGGTTTTTATGCTGGTATTTGCTAAATGCGAAGACCAAAGTGTCAAGTATATATGCAAGATAAGGAACAAGCTCTGTACAAGCCTCCTCTTCTAGAGTAGCAAAGGCACTGAATGACAAAAAACCCACCCCAAACAGGTCAGTCAGTATCTTGGAAAAAACAAAACAAGACCACCCCAAAATGTCCCGCACTACCCATTCCTGTTTAAACAAAGAACTGTATTCAGTCCTCAAATTCATCCAAGGTATGTTTTCAAAATGATATTACTGAGACAAACTCAATCTATTCCGATTGAACACAAAGATTCAGCTCTTACACTGTGATGAGCAAAATATATTAAAAATATTCCTATAAAACCTTTTATGTATACATGCTACCGATCTAATCCTGCTGTATGAAGAAACTTTCCTGGCAGTCTGCTGTGTACACTCCTGCCCCACACAAACTGACATGTAAAAGCTTTATTTGCTGAGCTTCCTGCACAAGAGGTGCACTCATTCCTTTAATGGTGTGTTAATTCTGGGTTTTTTAATATCTGGAAACAAGGGAGAAAAGGAAATCTTACCTCCAAGGATCTCTTTTCAAGAGAAAGGGAATATCCCTTGAAAAAACTGTAACCCAAATGTTTTGGTAGTCCTGACCTAAATATAAACATTGCTAATGTAACAATAGGATAGTTTTCCTTTGTCATCAGTATTTACCTTGTTCATTGGCCTATAAAAGTCAATCTCTGGTCAATGAAACTTCAAATATTGAAAAAAAACAGGTGTCACATACAGATAATTTATTTTACTGCAATAGATATTTTAGCTTGACTATTCATATATTCTAAAAACAAACTTGACAAGAGAGACAAATTATCTGTTTTCATTTTATTACAACTCAGAGTAATTTGTGACAACTTCAGAAGAAGCTGAACCTACTCCAATTTAAACAGAAAAAATAAAATACACAAAGAGCTAGAAATGGAGTTATACATTCATCAATAAAGGCATTAAAATATTTTCCCATGAAAAAGCAGTGTCATGGATGATACTTTTTGTTTAAGCTTTAGCTCACCTGCAGGCAGCTTCTTGTACTCTCTTGTTGCTATCCAGAATGCGCTTTAGCAACTCAGTCATTAACGGCTTCAAGTATGTGTCTGGGGGTTGACTAACTACCCAGTGTGCATAGCGACTAAGAGTCCAGCAAGTAATGGAGCGCACAAGAGCCTTTTTATTAGAGAGGCACTGAATAAGATGAGGGATCAGCTCAGGAAGATATGGAATCATACCCTGCATGCAGCCTAGAAGGAAAAATATAGCCATTACAGTATGAGAATTAGAAAACAATAGAACTTTTTGTTATTTCCTAGAAGGGACATATTTTTATCCTCTATCATGCAGTAATAAGTAATGGAGCGCACAAGAGCCTTTTTATTAGAGAGGCACTGAATAAGATGAGGGATCAGCTCAGGAAGATATGGAATCATACCCTGCATGCAGCCTAGAAGGAAAAATATAGCCATTACAGTATGAGAATTAGAAAACAATAGAACTTTTTGTTATTTCCTAGAAGGGACATATTTTTATCCTCTATCATGCAGTAATACATTTTACCAATATACAAAGTAAGCCTACCTAATTTATGTTAAGTCCTAAAAAGAAACCACAACATAAACAGTAATTAAAATCCCCAATCAATTTTACATTCATTCAAACTACATTTCTGCTTCAATGTTTCCCCAATCCCCAGAAATTCTGCTTTAATAAATGGAGCATAGCAAGAACATCCAAATAAAATTAAAGTCTTATGCCAGTCTACTCACGAGTGACCAAAACAAGTAGAGAAAGATTAGGCCTTGATAACAAATCATCACATCATTAAAAAAGATTCCTTAAGAAATTTAATTTTCTTGTTTTCTCCTAATATCACACAAATACTGACCAACAATGAAAGCTACACACTTCAAATCAGCAAGGGCAGTAATACACTGAGATTTGCCAGAAGTACCATTGCTTGACTTGAAATCAAAACCAACAAAAATGCTTTCTAACAACAAAGGAAACATATGTTCACTAGGCACTGTAGGAAAAGATAGATAATCCAGGCATGAACCCAAATATATTCCTTTAGTTTGCAAAATGGACAGAGATGATGGAAATACAGGCAAAAAGCCAAGACTGTAAGTAAATTTAAAAAAATGGAAGTCAGCACATTTAAAGCAGAGAACCATCCACAAAAAGCAACTCAGGGCACTCCAGTCACAGGACTGGTCTTCTCCATTTCTGAAAACACTGAATGAAATGGAAATATTCCTGTTGCACCAAATTGAGGTAGTACTTCATGAGAGACCAATAAATATATGCTACAGAGTTAAGAAAGGGAGGAATAAAAGAAATTATCTAAGATATTTAAGCCTCTGAAAAATGCACAGATTTAAAAATGAAAAATTAAGTAAGTAACTGCAGGCATCAACTAGTAGATGTAGAAATTAATCACTAAAATCAAATCAGCTAAGGACATATACTTGCTTGCACAAATAAATTCACCTAGAAGGGATCACAGAGCTTCTATAGAACCAATCAAAAATTCAGCAACTTGATATACACTGCTGTCTTACCTTCAGCAATTGCTCCAAGAACAAGGATACCAGATTCTTTAACTATCCATTCAGGATGGAAAAGCAATTCCTTCAAAAGGGGCAAGATGTGCAGCAGAAGTTCATCACGAAATACATTAGCCAGGACATCTAGAGCAGCAGCAGAACATTTCCCTAGGGGAATTAACAGTGTCAATCTGCTTATTATACAAGCAGTTGTAGCTAGACAGTATGAGCCTCATTTTAAATTTGAGCTGCCAAGGCATCAGGAGGAAAGATACTTCAATTTCATTACAATTCACAGGGATCCACTGTGCTCTGGAACAAAGCCATGGCCCTTAGAAAGCCAATTTTGCAGCATTTTTATAGCCACTAAAAGGACTTATACACTAGGGATATTAAAACACTCACTGACAGGAACCACATCATTATATTGCAACATTATATACACTACATAATTTCAGGATGGTGTAACACTACAAAGTAGGGAAGGTTTGTGACATGAATGCAACATACTGGAGAAATTAAGGAGAAATAACAAAAAAATACTAGCAAGTGATTAAAAAGAAAATGTTCAAACATGATCCATGTCTCAAAGCAAAAAAATAAAAGGCAAAATCATCAATCTCTAGAGGCTGAAAGAAATTCTCTGACCTCTGCTCTGAGCTTTTACATCTTACTCCTAAATCCATGATGCACCAATACAAATAACACTACTTTGAAATTTGTTTGAAAGTTTTTTATCTCATATTTTTAGCACACAAAAGTTCATAAAAGAACAACTTCAAAACATGATTCAGAAATCCTTACTCTGTTTTTCTGCTGTGGTGCTGTCATGTCTAGACAAATAATGCTAAGATGGATTTATAAAGAATGCTCATATTACAGAATTTATACTGCATTTGCTTTTTATGATCTCAGTTCCTTCTTAATCTGTCAGAAATGATCCAACTGAAAGAAAAGTATATATAAAACAGGTAATCAGGCAAAATATACATGGCAAATGTAGCATGCAAAAATTCTAAATTGGATTTAAACTGCTAGTGAGTCCAAACAAGACAGATAATTTTTCAGCTGGGAAGTAGAACTATCAGAATAGATAATAAATACAATTTTTTTTAACTCTGCTTCTAGATGATGTCCAACAGGTTTGAATAAAACAAAACATGAGCCCTCAACTCAGAGCAGATCTCCAATGAAAAACAATAATAAACAGCACAGATTCCCCAAGACCAGCACCTGCTGCTTTCAGTTTAGACTGTTTCAGCTTTCTACTAGTGGAAAAAAAGGTGCGCTCCCATATGTAGTTACCAGGTCTCATTAGTAACCAATGCTGCTAACTGTCAGACTGCTGACGTTTCCTCTCTGTTCAAATTAGAAGTCAAATATAGAACACTGGATAAGAAATAAGGCACACAATTCTGAAATTCAGATAATCCAAATTCTCTCAAGTCCAGATGACATGCATCAAAACAGATTTCTTGACTGTTCTGTTCTCTCTCTTTCCTAGTCAGCTTTAGCTTCCTCATCTTCTTAATCAAAACTGTGGATGACAGAGCACCTTCTGTCATTTCAGCTATGTTTTCCAGAAAATATTGATTTAATTCTGAAATCTACACACAATGACTACATGAACAGCATTATAAATTTATAACTATAAAAAAGATACTTTACAAACATATTTGTGCTTTTTGTCTTCTAAAAAAAAAGAATTTTAAAAGTTTAGATATGTCTCAAAGTTGTTTGATTCATAAGCTTCAAGGTACATTCACCTGTACTACATCTGAACTACTGGTAATGACTGTCAGTAGTAGCATGTTCAAATGGAGGAAAAAAAATTGAACACACAAACCAGATTTAGAGTTAAGTCTTTAGTAAAAGAAAGCATTATTAAGCTAAGAACAAGGAGTAAGAGTTTTTAAATAAAGTGATACATGTTTTGTACTACCTTGTAGAATTAAAAATAAAATTCAAAATCCAAAGCTTCTGTTGAATTGCATCCAGTAGATGTTTGAAGCTCTACCGGCCATATTCAAAATACGTTTACAGGCTAGATTTTTCAATACCGTTACATAGCCAAAAAATGACCGGAAAGGCTCCCCCTCTGCCCCAACTATCAATTATATCAGCAGATAGTTCTTTTTCTATTCAAAAGCAAAGCCTCAGTACTCCTATACACAAACTCCTCTTTTTACTGTGGTTCTTGTATTATGCAAGTAGCTATATTTTAAAACATTTTACACATTACTTTGACATACTTAAATTCCAGTCAGAAATAGTATCATCATCATCAAGTTCATTGTAATCATCATCATCATCTTCAATATGATCTTCTTCATGTTGCTGAGCTACTGTCCGTGATCGATGAAAACGAGGTCTTATGTCCTGTTCACTATCTGGAATAGCTTCATCTTCTTCAACATCCCCCTGTCAAAAAATGTTTTATCAGATAAACTAGTGCAACTATATTGCTCAACGAAATTAACAATGTAGCGTAAGTTTTAGTTCAATATTTCATAAACGTGAAAGTTTCACATCCAACTTGTGCTGTTCAGCTAACTAAAAATGCCATTGTTCCTGCATTCTGATAAAGTATTTACCAGAAAACTTTCAGGAAAATAGAAGCAACAGAAGCAATCTCACAAAAAAAGCACAAAGTACCCTTCTCCTTAAGAAATTACTCTTGATTGGAAGGAATGAGAAGGATAGAGAAATTCTAGTGCACAGACACATTCTAAAATGTTGTGATAGAAAAAGCTGTGTAGTTCAAGCTAGAAGGGCATAAAAATTAATTCTGATAATTTTTTTCAGGCTGCTTTGCTACAGTAATTCATGGGTAAAAGTATCCCAGCTCTGCCAAAGTCAGGGAAGGAGATGGGGCAAAACAGGAAAGTCCACAGATTATTTTCCAACAAACATGGTAGTAATCACATTTAGTTTTTGGAACAGCACACCTTGCCTCAGAAAGCTAAATCTCCATTGAACAGATGGCAGACCAGATCTGGCCTACCAGCTCAATCATTCTGATTTACAAGTCAGAAGCTAACCAGATATACTTACTGAGTATAAAAGAAAGGAATGCTTACCTTCAACAGAATAATATCGATCTCTGAATATTTCATACCATTTACCAGCACAGGTATCAGTCTACAAAGAAATATTGATACGTGTCAAGAAGGAATACCCTGGTAACTACAGGCCTGTCAATCTCACTTCATCACCTGGTAAAATTATGGGGAAAGTTATTTTGGGATGTATTGAAAACTACTTGAGAGATGATGCAGTCATTGGTCACAGCCAGCACAGGTTCACAAGGGGAGAGTCCTGTTTAACCAACTTAATTTCCTTTTAGAACAAGGTCACCCATCTAGCTGACTATGGGAAGCCAGTAGATGTGAGGGGTTCTTTTATTTTTGGCAAAGCTTGCAATACTGTCACTCACAGTATCCTTCTGCACAAAATGTCCAGCACACAGCTAGACAAGTCCATAATAGATTGGGTGAACAATTGGCTGATGGGACAGGCTCAAAGAATTATAGCAAATGGGGTCACATCAGGCTGGCAAATGGTCACCAGTGGGGTTCCCCAGGCCTCAATTTTAGGGCCAGTGCTCTTTAATGTTTTTAAAATGATCTGGATGCAGGAATGAAATTTACATTAAGTAAGTTTGGCAATGACACTAAACTAGGTGGAGCTGTGGATTCCCTTGAGGGTAGAGAGGCCCTGCAGAGAGATCTGGATAGTCTAGAGAGCTGGGCAATCAACAACTGTATGGAATTTAACAAAGACAAGTGCTGGATTCTGCAACTGGGACAGGGCAGCCCTGGATGTATGGACAGATTTGGGAACGAGAGCCTGGAGAGCAGTGTTGCAGAACGGGACCTGTGGGTCCTGGTCAACGGCAAGTTGAATATGAGTCAGCAGTGTGCCCTGGCAGCCAGGAGGGCCAACCATGTCCCGGGGGTGCATCAAGGCACAGCATTGCCAGCCAGTCGAGGGAGGGGATTGTTCCACTCTACTCTGCGCTGATGCGGCCTCACCTCGAGTACTGTATGCAGTTGTGGGAGCCACAATATAAGAAAGATATAAAGCTATTAGAGAGCATCCAAAGGAAGGCCACGAAGATGGTTAAAGGTCTGGAGGGCAAGACTTATGAGGAGCAGCTGAGGTCACTTGGCTTGTTCAGCTTGGAGAAGAGAAGGCTGAGGGGTGACCTCATAGCAGTCTACAACTTCCTCAAGGAGGGCAGTGGAGGGGGATGTGCTGATCTGCTCTCTCTGGTGACCACCAATAGGACATGAGGAAATGGAATGAAGCTGTATCAGGGCAAGTTCAGATTGGACATTAGGAAAAGTTTCTTTGCTGAGAGGGTGGTTGGGTCACTGGAATGGACTCCCTAGAGAAGTGGCCATGGCAGCAAGCCTGACAAGAGTTCAAGGAGCATCAGTGTTAGTCCTGTGAAAAGCGGGGAGTTGGACTTGATGATCCTTATGGGTCCCTTGCAACTCAAGAGATTCTATGATTCTATGTCAAAATAACACATAAATAAAGTGATCTGGTTTTCAGTTATCTGGTCCATAATTTTGGCTTTAACCACACTCTCCCAACAACAACAACAACAACAACAACAACAAAACCCAGACAAAACCTTAGCCTGATAACAAAGTATCTTAACAATGCTCCATTTCATGAGATTCATAAATACTTTTAAATCTGAAAAAGTGCTAATTTCTAACTAGATTTACTAACTAGATTTCTAACTAGAGTTAATTTTTAGAGTTAACTCTTGAGTTTTACACTTTAAAACCAGGATATTCTTCCACATGATGAAATCTAATTTGAAGCACCTTTCAGAAATTAAGTCAAAAGCTTTTCAGTAAGAATTCACACTTCCAAAATATGCTTGATAAACAAGTTATTAAGTTGGATCTCATGTATTTTCCTATGTATGTTTCATCTATGTCATAAGTAATACAACTTGCAATTGAACTCTGTTAAAGTCATACTTTCACAAATACATATTAAAACCTGCTTTTTGTCAATACCTTTGACAGTGACTCCGAGCAGCTGAAATCACTCATTCTCAACAATTACATTCTGAACTTTTAATGAAAGAATAGTAAGTATTTGAATTAACACCCATTACTCGGCATTTCTGCAGCATACTTCATGAAGTATGCAGGAGCTATATATTTTATAAGAAAGCCTACAGGAACAAAATGGAACAAAATATTAAACAGGCTTTTAGAAGATCTTGCCCCACTTAATCTAACATAAAAAAATTAAGATCATCATTAAGTATCAACAAATTTATATAGCTCCCTAGTCAAAAAGGACTCACCAACAAACAAGTTGCTTTCAGCAAATATGATATTGAAAGATATGTAATGTTATCCTTATATGTTTTACTAGAAATTTAAAAGCTCCTTAAAGAAACCCACAAAAAGCAAGGATGAAGCTGTTGCAATGTTAATGTTCATATAGACCAGAAGAGGTTTACAAATTATACTGAGAAGGTGACTAGTATTAATATGTGCATTGGGAAAGAAGTAGGTAGAATCATGATCTGTGCTACAATTCTTTTGCATTTTGAGCTATAAGAGTAGGATTTAAGTAAAAATATTTTAAAGCTTAAAAGTAATTTCTCATAACATTGGTTCTTCTGTTTTCAACTCCTATTCTTGTACTGGTACAGCAGGTGTTTGAATCTCAATTCTCTGTTTTCTAAATGCCTATGAAAACTGAAATTTGGAAACCCACCGTTTTTAAAAAAAAGTTGCTTTACATCTAAAATGGTCATTTTTGCTGAAAATAATGCATCTCTTCTCTCAACATTTTAACTGAAAGGACAGAATCACAGACAGAACTGCTCTAGTATTTTCAGAAACCTTCTATGCATATATCAAAAATAGGGTGTCCATTTACTGGGAACACTGAAGAATGTGTTTCCTATTCCAAAAGTCTTTAGATTAGTCTGGAAATAAGTTATTAGCACTGCTGCAGCCATGCAGATGTTTAAATGTCAAACATGGATATTCAATTCCCATTTAAACAAGGATCTACATTTTAAGGCTTAGGATAACTTTTTGAAGCTAACAAAAAAGTTTTTGAAACTTAAAATACTACTGTCAGTCTGAGGAATCACAAAGAAACACATTATACATGCTTTCAAGTTTAAATTGCCATGGCAATTGATATGTAATTGATTCCTAAATCTAAATGATCTTGTAATTTTGTTATGTTTTTCATAAAAATGGGGAACCCCTGGCATGACTATGCACATAGAAGCATTGCACAGAAATGCTCACAATAGCAGCTGTCAAGACATGTTCATGGTACACCAGATATTACAAGTAATGTCATTGTGGAGATATTTAAGCTTAAACACATTAGTGCACATTTGCATTTGTCTGATACTTAACAGGCTGTTAAGCCTGAGGTAAAGTATGAGTAACACAGTTTAGGTTGCTTCTGGAGCCAAGTCTGAAATCCTCAGAAGTCTTTTCAGTCATCTCTGGGCTACAGCCATTTTTAATATGCACAAGAACCAGCTACAAGAATTCCTTCTAAGCATATGGCAACCTAGATACAGTCTCTATAAGAGTAACCATGAAAAGGTCAACTGGAAGTTTCAAGATGACTATTTTAAAATAACTAGTTCTAATTCTCAATACTTACTTAGTAAGATGCCGACATAATACATCTTTACATATTGGCTGTTCAGCCAAAGTCAGCCAAAATTCGCAAGCCTCCAGAGCAACATTTTCATCTTGGTCCTGGGTCCTTTGAAGCATATACTACACAAAAAAAAAAACAACCCAAACTTGTATAAGTTTTAAGTGAAGAAGCTATCAACATTGCAAAGCATATTTTCAAAAACAGACGATGCTAGCAGAGTAATTTTTTTCTTTGAGATGAGGGGAAGAAACAGATATAAGAGACTACTTAAGGGTATGGTGAAAATAAGCCAAGAGACTTATTTCTGAACACTAGATGTCCTGGTTTGGGCTGAAACAGAGATAGCTTTCTTCACAGTGGCTAGTATGGGGCAATGTTTAGGATTTGTGCAGAACACAGGGTTGATAATGCAGAGATGTTCTTGCTATTGCTGAGCAGAGCTGGCACAGAGCCAAGGCCTTTGCTGTTTTCTGTGCTGCTGCACTGGCAAGGAAGTTGGGGGTGAATGGGAGGTTGGGAGGAG